GCTCTTGTTTTTTGGGAGATTTTTGATTACTGCTTCAATTTCCTTAGTGGTTATGAGTCTGTTCAGGTTTTCTATTTCTTCCTGGTTCAGTTTTGGTAGTTGATACATTTCTAGGAATGCATCCATTTCTTCCAGATTATCTGATTTGCTGGCATAGAGTTGCTCCTAATATGTTCTTATAATTGTTTGTATTTCTTTGGTGTTGGTTGTGATGTCTCCTCTTTCATTCACGATTTTATTTATTTGGGTCGTTCCTCTTTTCTTTTTGATAAGTCTGGCCAGGGGTTTATCAATCTTGTTAATTCTTTCAAAGAACCAGCTCCTAGTTTCGTTGATCTGTTCTACTGTTCTTTTGGTTTCTAGTTCATTGATTTCTGCTCTGATCTTTATTATTTCTCTTCTCCTGCTGGGTTTAGGCTTTATTTGCTGTTCTTTCTCCAGCTCCTTTAGGTGTAGGGTTAGGTTGTGTATTTCAGACCTTTCTTGTTTCTTGAGAAAGGCTTGTATTGCTATATACTTTCCTCTTAGGACTGCCTTTGCTGCATCCCAAAGATTTTGAACAGTTGTATTTTCATTTTCATTTGTTTCCATGAATTTCTTAAAATTCTTCTTTAATTTCCTGGTTGACCCATTCATTCTTTAGTAGGATGCTCTTTAGCCTCCATGTATTTGAGTTCTTTCCGACTTTCCTCTTGTGACTGAGTTCTAGTTTCAAAGCATTGTGGTTCGAAAATATGCAGGGAATGATCCCAATCTTTTGGTACCGGTTGAGACCTGATTTGTGACCTAGGATGTGATCTATTCTGGAGAATGTTCTATGGGCACTAGAGAAGAATGTGTATTCTGTTGCTTTGGGATGGAATGTTCTGAATATATCTTTGAAGTCCATTTGGTCCAGTGTGTCATTTAAAGTCTTTATTTCCTTGCTGATCCTTTGCTTAGATGATCTGTCCATTTCAGTGAGGGGGGTGTTAAAGTCCCCACTATTATTGTATTGTTGTTGATGTGTTTCTTTGCTTTTGTTATTAATTGCCTTATATAATTGGCTGCTCCCATGTTAAGGGCATAGATATTTACAATTATTAGATCTTCTTGTTGGATAGATCCTTTAAGTAGGATATAGTGTCCTTCCTTATCTCTTATTATAGTCTTTGGTTTAAAATCTAATTTGTCTGATATAAAGATTGCCACCCCAGCTTCCTTTCGGAGTCCATTGGCATGGTAAATGGTTTTCCACTCCCTCACTTTCAATCTGGGGTGTCTTTGGGTCTAAAATGAGTCTCTTGCAGACAGCATATCGATGGGTCTTGTTTTTTTATCCAATCTGATACCCTGTGTCTTTTGATTGGAACATTGAGCCCATTTACATTCAGGGTAAATATTGTAAGATATGAAGTTAGTGCCATTGTATTGCCTGTAGGGTGGCTGTTATTGTATATTGTCTCTGTTCCTTTCTGGACTATGTTACTTTTAGGCTCTCTCTTTGCTTAGAGGACCCCTTTCAATATTTCTTGTAGGGCTGGTTTCGTGTTTGCAAATTCTTTTAGTTTTTATTTGTCCTGGAAGCTTCTTATCTCTCCTTCTATTTTCAATGACAGCCTAGCTGGATATAGTATTCTTGGCTGCATATTTTTCTCATTTAGTGCTCTGAATATATCATGCCAGTCCTTTCTGGCCTGCCAGGTCTCTGTGGTTAGGTCTTTTGCCAATCTAATGTTTCTGCCATTGTAGGTTATAGACCTCTTGTCCCAAGCTGCTTTCAGGATTTTCTCTTTGTCTCTGAGACTTGTAAGTTTTACTATTAGATGTCGGGGTGTTGACCTATTTTTATTGATTTTGAGGGGGTTCTCTGTGCCTCCTGGATTTTGATGCCTGTTTCCTTCCCCAAATTAGGGAAGTTCTCTGCTATAATTTGCTCCAATTTACCTTCTGCCCCTCTCTCTCCTTCTTCTTCTTCTGGGATCCCAATTATTCTAATATTGTTTCATCTTATGGTATCAATTACCTCTCAAATTCTGCCCTCCTTATTCTCCATCATTTGGTCTTCTATATCACTAATTCTCCCTTCTGCCCCATTTATCCTAGCAGTTAGAGCCTCCATTTTTTTATTGTACCTCATTAATAGCCCTTTTTATTTTGACTTGTTTAGATTTTAGTTCATTTCTCCAGAAAGCATTTCTCTAGTATCTTCCATGCTTTTTTCAAGCCCAGGTAGTATCTTTATAATCGTCATTCTGAACTCTAGGCCCAACATCTTACTCATGCCCATATTGATTAGGTCCCTGGCAGTCGGTACTGCCTCTTGTTCTTTTTTTTTGAGGTGAGTTTTCCATCTTGTCATTTTGTCCAGAGGGGAATAGATAAAATGCTAACAGGGTAATAATGACCCCCAAAAAATATACACTAAACAAATCACCAGGGGAAAAGAAAGGGAAAGAAAGAAAAAAGAAAAAGAAAAAAAAAGAATATGATCAAATATGATCAGGCTGGTGAATAGATCAGTGCCACACACTAGATTTGGGACGTATTTTGGTCTGTTAGAAGAAACTGCCTCCCAAAATTTGAAAGAAAGAAAAATGTATATGTACAAAAATAAGGGTAAATAAGATGCAGGGATGGAATATGACTGTAAAGATGAAAATTATGAAAGATTTTATAAAAAGAATTGATAAGAAGTTGGTTGAAAAAAGAAAGAAGAGAAATTTTTTTAAAAAAAGGGGGAAGAGAATGTGATCAGGCAGGAGACTAGAACAAAATCATACACTTAGAGATTTAGGGTATATTTTGGTCTATTAGAAGAAACTGTATCCCAAAGTTTTAAAGAGAGAACAACTCATATATATACCAAAAATAAGGTTAACTACAATGAAGGGATAGAATATGCCTCTAAAAATGAAAAATAAAAAAGATTTTTTAAAAAGGGATTGATAAGATGATGGCTGAAAAGGGGGAAAGAAAAATTCAAAAAAAAAAAGAAAAAGAAAATTCAAAAAATTAACTTTGAAAGACTAAAGAATCATGGGGAAAAAGCCATGAATTTTATGTGCAGTATTCCCCTAGCGCTTGAGTTCAGCCATTCTCATTGATCAGTAAACTTGGTCTTGCCTGGCTGTTCTTGCTGATCTTCTGGGGAAGGGGCCTGTTGCTGTGGTTCCCAAATGTCTTTGCTGGAGGCGGAATTGCCCTGCCCTTGCTGGGTTGGGCTAAGTAATCTGCTCGGGTTTGCTCTCGGGAGCTTTTGTTCCTTGCAAGCTTTCCGTACAGCTTTGGAGGACGGGACCGAAAATGGTGGCCTCCCAATCTCCACCCAGAGGAGCCGAGAGCTTGGGGCCCTGCTCCTCAGTGCGCCCCCAGAGAAAAGCAGTCAATCACTCCTATCTCCGCAGTCTCCGGCCACACTCCGTGCTCACCCGACCTATGACTGAGCATTTATAGCTCTGGCACACGACCCCGTGTGGAGTCTCCAAACCCAGCAGATTCCTCCTGGGGGAGGAAGGGGAGTCTCCCCGGATCTGCCACTTGTTGGGTCCCTGCTGGAAGAGCAGTGGCCTGACTGTGCCACAGATCACAGTTTATGGCAACCCCGAGCTGAGAGCCCACTCCTCAGCTCCGTCTCTGCAGCCAGCTTACCTGCTCTGATACATGGGAGCTCTGCTGCACTCAGGCACCCCCAGTCTTTCTGTGACCCCGAGGGTCCTGAGACCACACTGTCCCAGCGAGGGTTCCACCCCCCGCTTAGCCACTGGAGTGACGTCCCTCAGTGGAGCTGACTTCTCAAAGTTCTGATTTTGTGCTCCGCGGCTCTATCACTTGCCCCTGGTGGCTGATGGAGGCTCCCTTCCCCCGCCTTGACCACTTCTCCGCACGTCCTACCTCCCAGAAAGTGGTCGCTTTTCTGTTCAGAGTTGCTGCTATTCTTTTCTTCAATCTCCTGTTGAGTTTGTAGGTGTTCAGAATGGTTTGATACCTATCTAGCTGAATTCCTGGGACCAGATGAAATTTAGGTCTCTTACTCCTCTGCCATCTTGCTCCTCCAAGCATCAATCCTTAGCCTTTAATGTGGGCTGCAGTTCCATTCAGCTTATAATAGATTCCATTGCACTTGCACAGATAACAATCTGTGTCACAGTTATTGGAAATTTCATGTACATTAAAACCCCTGTTGAAAAGGCAGTCTCTTCAATAAATGGTGTTGGGAAAACCGGACAAGCTACACACAAAAGAGTGAAACTGGACCACTGTCTTAACACCATATACAAAAATAAATTCAAATTGGATTAAAGATTTGAATGTAAGACTTGAAGCCATAAAACTCCTAAAAGAAAACATAGGCAGTAAGCTCTTTGACATCAGTCTTAGCAAAAAAATTTTTTTGGACCAGTCTCCTCAGGCAAGGGCAACAAAAGCTAAAATAAACAAATGGGGCTACATCAGGCTGGAGAGCTTCTGTATAGCAAAGGAAACCATCAGCAAAACCAAAAGGCCACCTCCTTAATGGAAGAAGATATCTGCAAATCATACATCTGATATGTAGACTCTAAAAACCAAAGAAAAGAAAAGAATAAATGAAACAAAACAGAAATAGACTCATTGAAACAAGAAATAAACTTTTGGTCACCAGAAAGGGGAAGGGTTGGGGGGGGCAGATGAAATCAGTGAAGGGGATTAAGAGATACAAACTTCCAGTTAGAAAATAAGTAAGTCCTGGGATATAATGTACAGCATAAAAAATACAGTCAATAATATTGTAATAAATGTAGGGTGACAGATGGTAACTAGACTTATCATGGGCATCATTTTGTAATGCATAAAAGTATCAGATCACTATGATGTATACCAGAAATTAACAGGATATTGTATGTCAATTATACTTCAATTAAAAAAATCCACTATTTTCAAGGTGACATAATGAACTGCGTTTATTATAAGCCAGGAGAATTTCAGAAAACAGTCATGTCTGGTTATTAAAGGGTTTTTTTTTTCCTTTTCTTCTGAATCAGGTGCTGTCATACCATGCAACATGTTCAAAAGCTGAAGTTGACAAGTTTAAGGTAAGGAAGCAAAGGGTGCCCTTGCTAGTACGTAATGTTAATCTTCACATGGCATTCTGACCCGTTGTCACTTGCCTCTGTAGAATCAGTCTGGCCCACTAGGTATTAGGGAAAAGAACTGGGCAAAGGTGTGTTTGAATATTTCAGTCGTAGAGGGGAAAAGGGACTTATATATAAACTAAATATCCCCTTCATGATCATTTAAATGATTCAGTATTTATTTCTTTCCATTTGTTAAATATGTGGGGTATTAGAAAAAAATCTGTGTAATATTGTGAGAATCGGGACACCTGGCTTTGGCATTCATTTTTCCTCCAACTTTCTATTCACTTAAAAATCTGTATATTTTCATCTGTAAAAATAAGGAAGAGATTAGGACAATAATAACTAACATTTGCCATATGCTTACTATGGACCACAATACAAAGCATTTTACCTATATAATTCGTTTGAGTTTCATAATCCTGTGAAGAACATACTGTTTTACATAGGAGTCAATTGAGGCGTGGAGATGTTAAGTAGACAGCCAAGGTCAAATGACTGTAAGGCGTATAGCCAGGCAATCTGGCCCCAGAACTGGAGTTCCTAACCACGGTATTCACTGCTGTTCAGTGGGACCTTCTTCCAGCTCTAACATACGATAAGTCTGTGAATGAGGCTTAGACATTCTTTCTCTTTTTTTTAAGATTGTATCTTTAAGTAATCTCTACACCCAACATGGGACCCAAACTCACAACCCCAAGATCAAGAGTCATATGTTCTACCAACTGAGTCAGCCAGGTGCCCTAGATACCCTTTTTCACCTCAGTCACCACCATTCTCTTAAAGGCAACCCAGAATTCTTGTCCCTTCCCCTGCACTCTAACCAGTCATGGTCAAAATATGAGAGTGTGGGAGACCTGATTTCCCTCCCCTTTGAAAGCTTTGGTCTCTGCCTTTTTAAGTTTTCATGGAAGTTCAGAATTATCAGGTTAGCCACCACAACCGTAAGAAAGATAGTGTTTTGTATTGTGAAATTTGTAAGTAATAACCCTTGGTGATGGCTACTCTTCTAAGCATTTCATTTACACGCAGATGCATTCATCTTCCCAGGAACAATGGCACAGAGACCTGATCCCTAAATCAGATCATTAGAGTTGAGTCACACTAATAAAGAAAGGAAACAAGGGAAGACTCCAAACTCAGAGTAAGGATGAGGGGACTGCTCAGAAGGGCAGGGAGCAGTGCATTTAGCGCGGGCACAAGCTGAGCTGCATGGGCTCCAGCCAGGGATATGGTGCTATTGGCTGGATGAGAGGCTTAGGAAAAGACCTGCGCTGGTGACCCAGATCAGGAGCGACATGTTGCCAGCAAGAGGTAACAGCTGACAGCAGAAGAAGGAGACAGAACAACCCAAACTGTGGCAGTCAGGGCCCTCTTGTTAGGGAGATAAACATCCTACCTATCAGCTAGAATGTGAGTGTCTTCCGAGCAGCACTTTTTGTATGTTGTGTTCACTGCTCTATCCCTATAGTTCTGGGAACATGGTAGTACTTAGCAAATATTTGTTGAATTGATGGATGAATGAATGAATGAATGAATGAATCCAAAAAGTATCAGTGTTCTGTAATTCAAAACAATTATTCATTAAGAAAATGTTAAAAACCATGGTTACATATGATTATTTTTCATATCATCTATATATTTTATAAATAAGTCCATCAAAAATAGGTAAAGCTTTTATACTTTAATAAAGCTTGGTTACCTAGAAATCTGATTTAGGGAAATAACTTGCTGCAAATATTTTACTGTTCTTACTGTCTTATATGTTTACTGTTATTATCATTATCATCATTGCTAAAAGAAGGAAGGGACTGGCAGGGAGAAAGATAGCAAAGCACACAGTGGGACAAATATGACTGCAGGAGCTATTTGATGGGACAAGCACAGAGGCACAGCGGGCCAAAATCCATGGCTGTGTACCCTCTACACATACTGCCCCTTCTTCAGCCTTAATTCTTAATTCCTTAGAGTAAGGAAAATACCATTGTCTTGGAATTTGCCATGCTTTTCTATTGTTAGCTCACAAACACACTAAAAATACGAAGTATTTAAATTTGAGAACAAAGGGTTATTTCATCTTAAAAATTATCAAGAATATTAACTTAACTGATTTATTCCAGATTTTATCCTGAAAGATATTGGTAAATATCTTATCACAATGTAATTGAGATATAGTAGATAATTTTAACCTAATGGCTTTTTTTCTTGATATATAAAGTAAATAAAACATTATCATAATTAGTAGCTGATGTCTTATAACTGCAGCAATAACATTAAAATGTAGTGAGCTTAAAATAATCCTGCACATAGACACTGAAAAATACTTACTGAAATTTCACACTGGAGTATATGCAATGGCAGTTTCCTAACATTGTAGCTAAATAGCAGTAAATAAATGCTTTGTTTTGACCCGTATGTACAGAAAAACCATGCTTGCATTCAAATATATTGTAAACTTTGCTACTTACAATAATTTTTTAACAGAGATAGTAAAGAAAATAGATCTATATATAGAGAGAGATTTGAAATCTGGAATAGAGTTATGCATAAAATTTCGTCCTTTAAGAATGGCTGAGTCAATGTATTGGATTATGTACAGCTGGGACCAAGCTATTGATCAGTGATTCAGAGATGAAATCAGGGCTTGGAAGGAAATATCATCCTCTAGGACCTGGAGGTCAAATACACGCATACATAGGCCAGATTCCAGTTGCAGCCCAAGCTGTACCACATCCAGGATTCAGGTATGTTAAGAACACCAGTGAGAAGTGGCTATTCACACAAGAGACTAGAGGCCTCCTAGTCAAGAAGTCTTCCTAGTGGAAATTGAGGCCACAGGCATCAGTGTCTAGATGATTCCAAGTTCAGCATGGGGTTTGTCTCTTGGATTTGTCCCTTACTCCAGCCTCCTAGAGATTCATCTTCTCAGCTAAAAACTTGAATGGACACAAAAGGTATGGACTTTAGTACAATTTCAGTGCAATAAATGACCCCAAGAGCATGAGGGTTCCAGAGTGCCAGTAGCATGCAACAGAAAGCGGCAGCCCAAGGGAAAGGAAACCTCAGACCAGAGGGAAGGCACCGTCTATCAAAATGACCAGCAGAAGCTGAAGGAATCGATGCAGGCTGAGTGGTCACATTTTAAGGACAAGTTAGGTATACCCTGAGAACTCTCAGAAATAAGTAGGAGAGATGGAAATTCCATAATATTGGAGAGTACAATACACACCATTAATTAATTACTTTCAATTCACTACCATTTGTACTCCTCAGTGGGATGGTTTCAAGGAATGCAGATTTCATATATGATAAACCTATAGTCAGTCTTTAATAATCATTAATGCGAGGCTAATATCATCTTACCTTTTTTCATATCTTGTCTTCCTATTTCACACCTGTCTATATTGGGGATTTCTTTTCCTATTGTAGCATGTCAGAGGAGAAGGAAAAGATGTTTTCCTTTCTGTTTTGTTTTGTTCTGTTAACTCCATTTCTCCTGTTGGGAAAAGTCTCTTTCATGGGTGTGTGGTGGTAGGTGGGTGAAGGGTGGTCAGAATGTGAAAACCATTCTAGAAGTTTTCCTGGATTATCTAGCCAGAATAAGTACATGAAACAACATATAATTAATTGCTCATCTACGAATGTCAGAATCTAAGCTTATTTTTGTGGTTGTGATATATTATTTATACCTTGGGAAACAGTCTTTTTTGGAGGGCCACCTATACACAAAAAGATCACAGAACTTCCTGGAACTAATGAATTAACTTTTTCAAAGTCTGATTGAGGTTATAATGTTAATAATTTGTCCTTTATGGGCTGGTTGCCCTGTGCATTGAATGAGGAAACCAGGATCTAAAGAACGGCTTTTCATCCTCATTAACATTTACTGATCTTCCTTGAACTTGAAATAAGAAAGGTGTGCCCAGAAAATTTGGGCAGATTTTAGTGCCTGTTTATATCTCTTCTGCTCTGTGCTAACGGGAATAATGTATAAAGACCATATTGACAATTAGATCTCTTTGAAGATGACTGTTTTAAAGACTTTTAATAGCCTGAAGATGCCATATGTGATAACATAAGAAAATGAGTTTAGTACACCAATTATATGCTCCTGTAATTTTATGCACTTCCCTAAGTTTCCAATGTGGTGGACAGACCAAACAGTTACTACTGTATATTCCAGTTTACCAATTAAAGTCAACTCATGGACGCTCTCATTTTCTCTTGCCACCTTTTATCATCCCTTCTTTCAATTCCAAACTGCATGGGTTATGGCTGCAACCAGAGATGAACTCATTTACGGCGCTATTTAACTGCCTCAGTAATTAAACACCGATAACTCCTGTTAGGTGTTTGGGTTTGGACTACCTCTTGCGTATTCCAAGTTATCACTGTTAATGCCTAGACCACAAATTAACATCCTGGTAAAGTAAATAAAGTAAAGTGCCAAGGAATAGGTGCCCCCTGTGGCCTTTACATACCAAAATAAGAATGGCCACATCAAAAATAGGATCTTACAAACTCCTCTGTAAGATAGAGGGCAAGGGACAGGCTGAGCAATGGGATGGGATGTACTAGGCTTTTTTTTTTTTTTTAAGTAATTCAGTTTGAGGAGACATCTTTGATCCTGAAATATTCAAATGTTATCATAAGCCCTGGCAGTTGTGTGGGTAGATGTGTCTATCATAAGTCCTGCACGAGGTTCCCTGTGTAAGGAGGCAGGAGTTGGGGCTTGCCCCCACTTGGCTGGTCAACTGATGGGTTGCCTTTTAGTGACTGATCTCCCAATGGGCGCACCTTTTTCTAACTGCACAGCAACAGAACGTGTGCTGGCCTGCCAACTCTATTTCCAAAGCTGGGGGAAAAGTGCAATCCTTGCACCGGCTTCTTGCAGAGGAAGAGTGTCCCATGTAGACGGAGGGTAACACCATGACACTTACCCAAACCCAAGTAATGAG